TATATATATATTATTATATATATATATATTAAGTTAAATTGATCTTACTATCCCCCCCCCCCTGTGTGTGGATGTGGATGTGGATGTGTGTTCTTCTGCACATGTGGTAGGTATAGTTGATTCGGAGTTGCAAGCTTGTGCTTGTGTGACTATACTCAGTTCAATATCCATAATGCCGTGACTTGGTATGCGTTCTAACGATACTTGCGGGTACCCGTAGCATATCCACTGGCTGTCTGTCCCTCTCATTCAGCCCAGGACCACTGTGCCATATGTAGTACACCCAAATATATACCTAGAGCCTTCGTACCTCAATAGTCTACCCCTCTCCCATCGTATTCGGTAGAGGTGTTGTATTCATAGAGGTTTCGAGCTGTATCCCATCTACACACCGTTTTAAACTTTCAATCTAATACCATCTATACACAGTTTTAAACTGATAATGTACTAACGGTGTGTTCTGGACCTTTTGATATACTTTTGTACCGTTAGGAATGCGATAGAGACCCCGTCTGACTCTAGGTTTGCGTCCAGCTTGGTCATGGAGAGCCAACATTCAGCGATCGAGGCCGACGGCTCGAGAGTAGTGGAAACAACCCGAAATGAGAGTATGTGCACACAACTACTGTAGGCATGCTCACACATTTGCACACATACACACACACACATATATACGCACACACGCGCGTGCAAACTGAAGAAGTGCACCTAGACAATGTGTGTGTGTGTGTGGAATGTTCTCAATAGTATTTGCATCCGTTGAAATTGGGAATATGAGGTATGTCCGTGTATTGATGGGGAGATGCATAACCTGTCCAGAAACGTACACCAGAGTGGTTCTAGCGTCGGAGTTGAACTTAACAATTGTCTTGCGGGTATGCGTGTTTGGGTTCCATGTGTAGGGTGTACCCATATAGAATAACATACGTGTGAATTGTATGTATGTATATCACACCTGAAGCACCCACGCATATATACTTGTGAACGACATATATACGTTTATGTATACCTATATATATACTCACACCTCAAGCACCGTCGTCCGTGGTACATACACGCACTTGTGCAGTGCATACGTTGATGTCTTAGACTCATGTCGGGATCGTAACTACGACCTCCACTGGGAGTTTAATCCTCGAAGGGAATTGTAAGCATGAACACGCATAAGGCGCCCATTGAAGCCATAGCCCATCATCTGTGTACATGTAGTCTACGTTTGTAATTGGAGTGTATGTGTGTAACGTCCAGATATTAGGGGTTGACCTTGCGTGTGTATATATATTTTCTGTCGGTGTCTGTGCACAAAAACGGTATCGAGAATGTAACGCTTTGCTACCAATAAATGCACATGCACTTCAGATTAAACCATATGCTCTACTGACTAGTATACTTCAGATGACCATCTGAAAGTATCTGCTGATACGCGTTCGAACTGATAGGAAGAACTGACTGTGTAGTGTATAGAGAAGCGGAGCTCGTATTATCTTCTGGCTCACAGTATTGCCCATCTTCCAAATGCCACAGACGGCCGAAGAACGACTACAGTAGAGCACACGCATCCCGATGGGCGTTTGGAAGTGATCACTATAGTTGATGGCGAGGCCGGTCCACAGTCGAGTGACATGGGTTGTCATGGTAACGGCAGCAAAGTGTCCAACGATAGCATGGAGGATATCGAAGAGACGAATAGTCGCGACGGAGGGGCCAAGACAAAGAATCGGATGTCGGTGTCTTGGTCGTGGTAGCGGCTTTTAGAACATATAAATGTCAAATAATGAGCTTCTAATTCAGTTTGTAACCTGCGGGAGGTGGGCATCTGCCATCTGGGCATCACCTCAAAAATTATGATATACGGACATTGTTTCTGTATTTAAAAAAAATATTTAAATTAAAAATATGATATGTATATACATATTTATTTTATTAAAAACAACTGCATATTTTCATATTCGACAACGACTCCACGAGTTATACAAACCTTTTTTCTATAAACAAAACGTGAAACCAAAAAGTCGAAGCAACAGCGTCAGCAACCTCTCTACTATTTGGAGTAAATGCTAAAAAATGCGGCCTGTGGCAGACCCGGGCGGAGTGTGGCCAAGATATTTAGTTTTATGTTTTTTGTTCGTTTTAAATTTTCAAATTGTGTATTTACGTAAATACTAAATATAAAATACGTACAATCGACAGTTGTACTCCCTTGTACTGTTGTACTCCGTATGTTTGTTTGTTTTGTTTTAAAAAAGAGAAGAAGAAAAAAACAGGAAGAAAAAAGCAAAACAACAAATATATAAATAGATGTATGTCCAGTCAAACTATATATATGACTACTTCTTTATATGACCAACTTTTACTTGGGCCAAACCCCATATATGTGTCAGGTCTTTTGGGCCGGCCCTGATAGCCTGCCCTTGGCGGGACCTTGGAGGTCCGACTATTGCAGCCTGACCGAGGAACACATACAAATAAACGTAAAAATGCATATTATTATTTTTAACGTTTTTACACATATTTATTATTTTAGGAAATACAAATATATGCACATATTTAAAATTAGGAATATTATTTTTTTATTAAATATGCCATACTTATGAAAAATATATGGCATATTTATTTCATACCTATTATTTTCCAAATTATATATTTCGTTCATTTTCATATGTATTATTTTTCTAAAAATATATATATTACATATTTATTATTTCTCTTGTATAATTTCCTCATATATAATATTTCTCCTATATTTCCACATAAATACTTAATATCATTATGTATTGACATAGCTTGCTATTTAGTATGGGTGACGATAGTTGATACTAAAAGTTACAAACACATTGATAAACAGTCCTTGTGTGTGCACAACACATATGCGCAACTTAGCATAGTAATCTACTAAGTATGAACATATATATAAAGCTTACATTTGGTTTATGTACACTAAAAAAGTAAAAGATCCACGTAATAAATAAATCAAGAGTTATATGACATTTAAACACACATTTTTGTACTGTTATTATTCTGTCATAGAACTCGACAGAGATCACTTAACAGGGAAGCAGGACGATGTACAGATTAAGCTGCACTTGAATACTGTGCACTGGGGTGGCATATTTGGGCATGTCGGCTTATATTGTCACTGTAAATAAGTCAAATAAACTAACGATCATTGTGTTTGACTTGTGTACAATATATGTGATTTCTTGTCAGTATTTCAACACCACAAGTATAAAACTGTATTAAAAATAAAATTGCCTCCTTTTTTTGTTCCAAAAATCAATCTATTTTCAAATTGGTTACAATTTGCCACCATATTTGAAAAAGGTAGTCAACATGCATCGAGCGGAAACAGGTTAAATTGCAACTGACGCTATACTACTTTTACGATAGCTCTGAAATTGGTAACAGAGCTCAAGGACAATACTATTGATAGGTGTGAATTTATTTGTATGCCTGTGAATTATGAAGTTCACAATGTCCCTTCTGGCCGGATATGTGACAAGTGTGTACTACGTCTTCTGTGACCAGGATGCGCTCAGGAGACAAAATATCGATCTGGCATGTACTGTGAAAAGGCGTTTTTCGGGTATCACCCGACTACAATAGTGTCAAAAGGAGTGTCCAGCATGTGGGTTTGTATTTTTTAATATTTTTTCGTCCTATTTGGTATAGTTTAAATTACAGGGTCTTTCGCGCATACTTGCGAAATTACACAACTATATATATGGAAATATATGTCCATGAAAACACAAATATATATATACAGACGAT